GAAGTTTTTTTTTTAGACATGTATGCTATAGTATACATGTCGCAAGTGTAAACGCCGTGTAATGATGTATTGTTCGCGTTTTTGAAGGAAGATTCGCTTGCATTTGAATAAAGAAATGTATTTCATATCTATTGGTATCGTGGTATAAAAAACGGGTTTTCATCATCATCGTATTTTGGTCGATTAAAAAAAAATCGATGCATTGTTTTAATGCCGATGGCTTGGGATTGACCTAACCATTATTTCGCCTACGCGTATTCATATTTCTGTCAGTTGTTTATTTGAAGTGTCTTTTTGAAGTATTTATATTTGCAACAAAAAAAAACCCACACAAACAATAAAGTTTGATGAAGTATTAATGTTGATTTTTTTATATGTGGGGACAGCTGGGTATGCTGCATACGTGGGTCCGCATACACTTACCCCCCCCCCCCCATTATTTACACCCCCACCTTATTATACCCACCCTCACCACATTTAAAGGGCACCTACCACATTTTAAAGGAGATCTGTTGCTGTGTTGTTTATTTAAAAATATGATCCCGTAAGAAGGGAATTTTAAAATATGTTCCTTATGCATGGTATACGGTGCTCCAACTACATTGGTGGCCCTTTGCACTATTCAAGCCTTACTGCAGCCGATGGCTCCACACTACTGTTGGCTCATTGCACTATTAAAGCCTTACAACAGCCGATAGCTCCATACTACCTTGTTGGCTCATTGCACTATTGAAACCTGACTACAGCCCAAGGCTCGAGACTACCTTGTTGGCTCATTGCACTATTCAAGCCTTACTGTTGGCTCATTGCACTATTCAAACCTTACTACAACCTAAGGCTCCATACTACCTTGTTGGCTCATTGCACTATTCAAGCCTTACTGTTGGCTCATTGCACTATTCAAGCCTTACTGTTGGCTCATTGCACTATTCAAACCTTACTACAGCCTAAGGCTCCATACTACCTTGTTGGCTCATTGCACTATTCAAGCCTTACTGTTGGCTCATTGCACTATTCAAACCTTACTACAGCCCAAGGCTCCATACTACCTTGTTGGCTCATTGCACTATTCAAGCCTTACTGTTGGCTCATTGCACTATTGAAACCTGACTACAGCCCAAGGCTCGAGACTACCTTGTTGGCTCATTGCACTATTCAAGCCTTACTGTTGGCTCATTGCACTATTCAAACCTTACTACAGCCCAAGGCTCCATACTACCTTGTTGGCTCATTGCACTATTCAAGCCTTACTGTTGGCTCATTGCACTATTGAAACCTGACTACAGCCCAAGGCTCGAGACTACCTTGTTGGCTCATTGCACTATTCAAGCCTTACTGTTGGCTCATTGCACTATTCAAACCTTACTACAGCCTAAGGCTCCATACTACCTTGTTGGCTCATTGCACTATTCAAGCCTTACTGTTGGCTCATTGCACTATTCAAACCTTACTACAGCCTATGGCTCCATACTACCTTGTTGGCTCATTGCACTATTCAAGCCTTACTGTTGGCTCATTGCACTATTCAAACCTTACTACAGCCTAAGGCTCCATACTACCTTGTTGGCTCATTGCACTATTCAAGCCTTACTGTTGGCTCATTGCACTATTAAAGCCTTACAACAACCGATAGCTCCATACTACGTTGTTGGCTCATTGCACTATTCAAGCCTTACTGTTGGCTCATTGCACTATTCAAACCTTACTACAGCCTAAGGCTCCATACTACCTTGTTGGCTCATTGCACTATTCAAGCCTTACTGTTGGCTCATTGCACTATTAAAGCCTTACAACAACCGATAGCTCCATACTACGTTGTTGGCTCATTGCACTATTCAAGCCTTACTATTGGCTCATTGCACTATTAAAGCCTTACAACAACCGATAGCTCCATACTACGTTGTTGGCTCATTGCACTATTCAAGCCTGACTACAGCCCAAGGCTCGAGACTACCTTGTTGGCTCATTGCACTATTCACGCCCCGTGACGTTACCACATACTACAGCCCTTGGCTCAATATTTCCTTGTTGGCTCATTGCACTACACAAACCTTTTACTTACATTTCAGCTTCCCTCCTCCCCACCTGTTGCAACTCGTCACTAATACCCCCGTAATGGCTACTTATTCTGCACGAGTTCACATCAAATGGCGGGAGGGGGTGGGAGGGGTGGGGATGTTGAAGATCAAAGACGTACACGCTCATGGGTCAAGACATGCATTATTGACCACTTCTTATTGATCACAGATCGAAAGAAAATTGAGCTCTCATACAATAAGACCATTCCCTTTTAAACTATAATAATTAACTATTCTGATAATTTAAAAAAAAAATAAACTTAAAAAAAAAAAACAAATAAAGTCCTTTTAAAAAGAACAAAGAAAAAAACAAGATTAGCGTGGTTTTATTGTAAAAAGATTATATTTTACGAAGAAAAAAAAAACGTGTTTAAAAATGTATCGAACTGTCGCATGCAAATTAACAAGACGCCCAGGCCGATATTGAACGATGAATCACTGAGCGTGGGCGGAGATCGAATTGTGCAAACGTCCGGGGGGATAAAACTAAAAGAAGAGAGGGGGAAAAAATGGGACAATGAGTTGTTTGTAAAGCTGAACAGAAACAACAGACATTGCAGTAGAATTATGTCCCTTTTCAATTACCGCCTGCATTTGTTGCGTCGGTTCGATTAATTCATCCCCCCACCCACTGTTTGATTAGCCCACACTAATAGGTTCGGCCTAAATACAAAATGGCGTTAATAGATTAGCCATTTCGTTATAGATGGGACGCCAAAAATAAACAGCGCGCGGCCATTAAGAAATTAAACTTTTAAAGTTTATTGAATGGGCCCAGGATGCCACGTACAGATTAACCCTCTAAGCGCAGCACGGAGACTACTGCAGCCATTAATAAATTAACCCTTCACTTTTAACAAAAAAATCTAAACAGCTTAATTGGTTAATCAGTTAAGTCAACAATGATACATAATTATTGAGCCATGGGTAAATTAACCCTCTATGTACGACAAACGAGACGAATACATCTATTAATTAATTAACCCTTCAATTCTCCCAGACTGCCATTAACAAATTAACCCTCTAATCCCACAAAAGTATCGTATTTATCCAGGATTAACCCTCGAAGTCTACGTCGATAAAGGCTATTGATTGTCATGAAGGGTTTAGTTACAGTCTAATTGAAAGTCACTAGATCTATGTTGTGCATACAATGAGAGCTTAATTTTTTTAAGAATTAGAAACTACCGATTTTTTTAAAAACATGATCTTGTAAGTACATTTTTTTTTAAATTACAAAATTTGAAAAATACAACAATCTTACAAAACATTATAGTATAAACTTTCTTCACAGGGAGTAAAAATATAATTTCCAATGTCCCCCCCCCCCTCCCTGCGACGAAATAGAAAAAAATATTTTTATATAGAGTATATACACTTTATATATACTTTAACAAGATATTTTAAGTATCTCCCAATATAAGTTTCAAGTACACTTGCCCCCCCCCCCCCCCCCGCCTAAAAATAACTGAAAGAAACACTGGCAGGCCTATTCCGAGGCTTACATAGGAACAGTGTATGACATACTGTTTTTCTCTCTTCGTACAATGAAATAGTGTGTGGGTATTTGTGTGTATATAAGTAAAGCGTCAACACAATGGAATACTTCACTAACTTCACTTTAACCATACGTTAAAGTGAATTCATTACAACGATACCGACAGGGGAAAAAAATCTCGATACGATACTGTATCGTCATGCCCACCCTTTAAAAATAAAAAAAAAAAAAATATTTTTTTTAAGATACAGATAATCGCTCCTTGATGGTTTAAATCTTCGCAAAACATCAGACCGATTACGTGACCTTGCGGGGTGTCAACGAGAAATAGCGAGGACTCGTAACATTTAATCAAGATAAGCCTCCGCTATTAGTGGGACCGTTTGATCCCCCACGACGCTGTTGATAAATCACTCCACGTCCAGCTGACATTGTTTGACAAAGCCCATCATTCATGCCTTGGCGGCCACGCGATTGGTGATGTCATAAGAGGGGAGAAAAAATAGTTCCTGTGGGAATGTCAACGAGTAGCCTTGTGGAAGAGTTGAATGAAAACAATCGGGGGAAGGGTGGGGTGGAGGAGGGGGGTGAAGCTGCATCGTGACTATGAGACGACATCCTTCCCACACCCACAATCTACACATCCGGCAGCCATTGATTCCGTTCAAACGGAGTGAGCCACGCATACACACACACACACACACAATTTCATCGATAACAATTGTTAAAATTACTTATAAATAAAAATCGTTATTATTCTTAAAGTATTTTAGCTGCCTCGAGTGAATTGTATTAATTAATTCAAGAATAAATAGTTCAATTCTATTTTTTAAAAGTGCGTTGGATGATTATCATTCACAAGTAAATTACTGCGAGAGTAGTGCCTACCCCCACAAAATGAATTGTTTTAAAATTAATTATGTTATTTCTTTGGTCACAGTTTATGAATCTTCAAAAATTATTTTAATAAACTTTATATAAGGTCAAAAATAAAATAAAACTGCATTAAGCAACTCTAAAATAAAAGAAGTAGACCAAACAAAATGGGATTATTTCTATTTGCGGATTGTTCCTATCGTTTACAATATCGTGTTTTTTTTTTCTTCTTTTGATGTTGAGTTATAGTGCATATTGTACTACACTTAGGATCTTTATAGTATAATAAATACACCAATAATGATTTCGATGTTTATTGATACAATAATACAATCAATTTTACTAGACCATTTTTGCAAATGCAATATTTAGATGTCGAACTTGAAAAAAAATAATCAAAATAACCCTCCTCGCCAAAACACGTTTCTGCACACGGCACTACGCCACGCCTCGTCGCTTGGCGCGCGCGCAGCCCGCCAGCGTACTAGGCCGCGGAGTAAGATCAATAATACGTGCATTTCGGTTCATTCATAACTAGGCATGTCCACGTGAATTCTATTTCAGTTTTACTACAACCACCAACCCAACAGGATACCGGCGTTCTCCAGCGTTCACTATGCTTCATCACAGTTGTGACTTGGCCAGCGGAAACACATTCTGATGTTTGATAAACGGAGTATCCAACAACGCTTCGTGTGGACCTTCTTCCCTTCATCACTGCTGCCTTGCCCAGTTTTATGCCTGCCATGGAGAACGTGTGTGGATTAAATGTGACTGAGGTGACAGAAGTCCTAGCTTCGGGGAACTCTGACCAAATCCTCATCATCGACTGCCGGTCGTTTTTAGCTTTCAACCAAAGTCGCATTGTCGAATCGGTGAACATCCATTGCCCACCCATTCTCAAACGGCGCTCAGGGGGGTTCATTTCGTTGGAGAATATAGTGCCTTGTGAGGAGAAGAGGGCCATGTTGTTGAAAGGTGTGTACCCCAATGTGTTGGTGTACGACGACAACACGCTCGAGCTGGCCCAGGCTTCCAGTGACTCGAACCTCCTGTCTGTGATTAAGAGCTTGCTCAAGCAGGTGGATAGTTTATCTGTGAGGTTTATCATAGGTAAGTTTAACGGTTTAACTGGCTCAAGTGTTAACTGTCTGATGTTTGTGATAGTGTTTGAGTGGGGGGGGGGGGTGTTTTTTGTTCAAGTCCCCAATTCATAGAATCTATCTAGATCTAGATCTACTATCTAAATCTAGTTACAGTAGTTGTTAATTTGGTTTAATATTAATTATTATTGAATGTATTCGTTTGTTTATAGCAGATCTATTATTACATTACTTAGTCTAACTTAGTGAAGCTGGTTTTATAACTGTCATTAACTGAGCCTTACTGAGCCAATTACACACATTAGCAGACTTACTACTCTAGGGCTAGGCCTATTAGCCTTCATTAATCAATGTAACAGACCTACAATTCTGCACTGTACTGGATTAGATATAGACCAGTACTAGATAGTAGTATTCAATTTATTATTAGCCTATAGGCCTATTCAGAAATTCTAAATTTGTCTTGCTGACTTACACCTGGTTTACTGTTCACAGTTCAGTTATGGTCACAATTATTTATAGTTTTGTTATAAATAGTTTAAATTCGCTTTTTTTAGTGTCTCAGAATCTAGAGGTGGACGAGAAGTGTCGAGGGTTAGGCTTAAGGAATGATAAGGGGATTATTATAGCTAGGTCTATTGAGTATAATCGGCTGACATTTAAATATAGATAGATGTAGGGCTATTTTAAAAGGCTACGGTTTACACCAAGGAAGATTCATAGATTGTCTGATATAACAATATTTCTTTTTTTATTTTACCCCTAAAGACTAAAGGCTTCTTATTAGGCATATAATTATATAAATAGCTTTAGATTAGCAATTTTTACTGTATTTAAATGCATTGCATTAGAGCAGGGGTCTCCAAACTACGGCCCGCGGGCCGCATGCGGCCCGCGAAGTCCTCTCATCCGGCCCGCGGAGATATTTTGTCCATGAAAAAATCGTTTGTTGGTGATGGCTGAGGAACTTTGCCCAGAAAAATCAAAGACAAGCCTGGAAGAAACTGGCCCCCGAGCTGAAATTTGATAGTTAATGCGGCCCTCGGACTGAAAAGTTTGGAGACCCCTGCATTAGAGAAATGGCCAGACACAAAAACCCACGATTGCGTAGGCGTCTACTTTCAGGAAAAAAATATCGACCAAACTTTGTCAGAGGCCGAGGCCTCATCGTTTCACCGTGCTTCATTACAGTGTTATTCATTACATTACATAGTTCATTACATTGTTATTCATTACATTACATAGTGTTCATCATCATTATACTATTATTCGTTATACAAATTGTCAATCACTACACTGTTCTGTTTCATTACATATTTCCATAATTACTCTCTTTATTTTCATTACACATTTTCCGTCATTACCCTATTCTTCGGTACACAGTCAATCATTACACTCATTACACTGGTCTGTTTCATTTCATATTTCCATTATTACACTCTTTATTTTCATTACACGTTTATCATTAAAATCTTCATCGTTACTGTATTTATTAGGTGTAATACATACCTGAAGCAGAAAACCGAACATTTTAAAATCAGTGTTAGTGTAAGGTTCAAGTAGTTTTGCTTTTATTGATAGTTTTTGCGATAGTACCGGTTTCCTTTGGCTATATCTATCCAATACAAAATATTTGGTTCTTAAACAGTAGTGTGGCTTAGTTGGTCCATAAACCGCAAAAAAAAAAAATCAAGACTTGTATGTACGTGCCTTATGTGTCATAGTTATTTCAATGCGTTCCTGTTCTCAAATAACACTACGGATCAACCTAACCAAGCCCACCCATCAAGGCTTTATCTCATTCGACCGTATAATCAACTACCTGGGTTACATTGTGAAACAACTGGGTAGGCCCTCGAGTTATCTATATTCGGTCTCTGTCTGTTAGTCAGCCAGCCTACCTTTGTTTATGTTTAAAGGCCCCTTATCGATTAACCGTACCCAGGTATTCAGTTGAAGTTCTAAATCCCAGCCCCTTCAAAATGTGTAGGCTTTATCCTCCATACCTGTATGGCGATTAGGAGAAAAGGGAGGGTACTCGTGTGACGTGGATTACCGCGCCTTAGTTTGTTTCTAACAACGATACATCTGTTCGTTTACTGAAGTATCTTCTACTTCCTGAAACAATGTAGTTACTATTTTGTTGGGCGTACAGTATCCCACGCTTAAATTTAGATTTGGTTAGTTTATTAAACTACATAGAGAATAGTGACAACTAACTTTGTAAAGTAATTAAATAACGAGTTAATTGTAAATTTTTAAACATTGTGTGTTGCACCAGAGATGTTAAAATATTGGTCATAACCAAGTTATTTAGATTCCAGGGGAACTAACTCTGCTACACTACTTTTTGAGTAAAGTACGTCAAGCTTGGAGTACTGTTTGTGTTTGTTTTTCCTTCAGAGTTATGTTTCCCTTGGTTGGCGTATTTGTGGGCGTGGTGTATGTGTGTGTGTACATTTGAGATAACTAACAGTACAGAGGTGTCTTGTTCTTGCCAAGGTCTAGGGCCTAGATTTTCTGCCAGGGTTGGGAGGTGGGGGGTGGGAGGAGTGAATATGGGATAGTAGGTGTTTCGAGGACAGGATCGTCCTCCGTGTTTCTCTCAGGGAAAGATACACTGATCGTCATGTGGTAGCAAATATTGTTTACACACACAAACACACACACACACATATATATATATATATATATATATATATATATATATATATATATATATATATATATATATATATATATATATGTATGTATAATGTGTGTGTGTGAAAGGGTGCGTTTGTATGGTTAATAAGATGGAATACTTGACCAAGTGTCTGACGTTGTATTCCTACGCTTGTGAATAATAGATTGTGAATGAGCGTGTCGGTAGAGAACCCATTGCCACCAGCCCACTTGATGGTCTGATAGATGACAATCGACAACGGGGTCAGTGAATGAAGTGCGGCCGCTCCTAGCTCTGAATGGTGTGGTAGTCGACCGGACAAGGCCGTGATGGTGGGGGTGGGGGGTGAGTGGATTCACCGGAAATCAAACATGCCACTTGTGTTTAGTATTAGGACAGGAGAGGTTGCGGCCCCTGAAGTGTACTCCGGCTTCCTCTTCTACTTGTTGCTTAGTTTAAAAAATTAAAGCTACTTTAGAAATATATTTAAATTTAATTCAATGGTTTGCAGCTCTATATTGTGTGCCCGTTTCTTAAATTTTGAGTATTTTGGATTATCTTTTGGGGGGTAATTTTCTGAGAAGTTTTTCTTAAAAAATCGATTTTTTTTTGCAGGGAACAATTGTTAGGGGAGCGATTTTCCCTTTAAAGCGAGCAGTAGGTTTTATCCTTATCCTCATTCGATTTGTGAAATAAAAATAACATTTCTACAAGTCATTACAAAACACCGTCGATACAAAATAAGCGTAAGCTTTTATTGTTAAAACAGTATGTTCTACATTATAAAGGGGTGAGGTATCGAAACTGACAATACTGTTTCTAATTATCGAGTTGTTTTTGGTTTAAGGTTAAACATGTCCTGCCTACCGGAAAGTACATTATTCCTTGTAAGGGTGGGGGATTACGTAATCAGAATTTAACCGCATTTTTCCATCCGCTTTTCTATTCATGAAAAGACCCGCCACTGTCCTAGATAACTGTTAGACCAGAACCTGTTTGTTATCTAAATATACCACTCTATTCACCTACCTCTGATGTTCTATACAGGGAGATTTGTGTTCGTGAACCTCATTACCGTGTTCAAGCTACAAGTCATCTGATAAACGATATATATATATATATATATATATATATATATATATATATATATATATATATATATATATATATATATATATATATATATATATATATATATATACACTTTTATACACCACTGTTGAAAAAGTAAATGTGTCCCGTTTTTAAAAGGAAAAATCAATTTTTTTAAAAGCAATTCCATCCCCTCCTTACTCCCCCTCGCCCCTCCCTCCTGATTTTCTTCCGGTACATGAGGCTGATGTCGTGCAGACGCGAAGGACTGGGGTGACTTGAGCTGAGGTGACTTGAGCCAGATTCTTAGAAACTCCCCGGGCGTGGGGTTTTTTGAAGGGTGTGGGGGAGAGGGGTGCTTATGTGATAAGTGTTGGTTTTTCGTGGTATTTGGGTTAGTAGGAAATAAAGATTTAGGTTAGCTAGAAATATGGAAGGATTTGTTGGTATTTAGACGTTAGACGTTAGTTTTTGAGTATTCAGTGGTATTAGATTTCAGTTGGGGGTTGTTTGTTTTTTGTTTGTCAGAAGCAAGATGTTTGTAGTATTTCGTCGTAATAAAGAACGGCATTGTGGTATTCTGGTTTGCAATAAATCAGTTTGTGTGTGTCTATCGTGTCCGTAACTATAGGTTTATTTTTGTTTTTATTTGTATCCGCTAGCCAGAGATGCGAGAATGTTGTTGTTTAATAGTTCTTCAGAATGTTGAATGCGTTTTAGTTGTACCTATAACTGAGGAAAAAAAAAAGGGGGGGGGGGGGTTAAGTTAAGGTACAGTGTTGCAAAATAGAAGGTGTTTCATTTTAATTCCAATGAAGATTTAAGACCAATTTGAGCTTAACGAAGTTTCTGTTTTTAGCAGAAGATATTTTTTCCCCTTCTTTACAGTATCATAGCGTACTTTGATTGGTATTTGCTAATAAAGCCTTGTAATTTAACCTGTGATATATTTAAAGTTACGCTTATGTTCAGTAAGCAATTTTTAGAGGGTTTACTACACTGTCGATGAAAATAACTTGTATTGATAACTTTCTTAGCCCCCTCCCCCACACCTCGATAACATGAAATTTCTACCAACAGTAACTTTCACTAAGCAACGTTCATATTGCATTTTGTTTGCAACGTTTACAAGAACTTATGAACAAATCTAGCTCTCGTCTATTAGTTACGCTGTGTTCATAAACTGAAGCCTCTCTAAACCACACTGTCCTGACGCTTGATTCTAACTACCTGTAGCTTCTTGCATAACTTCCTCCTCTCGTCTTTCATACCCCCTCCCCCTGACTCTGCCCCCCCCCTCACCCCCCCCCCCCCCCCAGCTGAAATGGACTGTGATTGTCCGGGCCACCAAGTACTGGCTGTCGAGGACGGTCGAGTGGGTCCACATGTAACAACTTCCTGTCTGGGTCCCGTTCAAAATGGCGGCGATGGAGAGAGAAATTTTTTTTTTGCATGTGTCAGACGTGAAACGTGTGGGGGGGGGGGAGCCTCTTAAACACGTCGTTTCCTGTTCTCCTTGCTGCAGTTTTCTGTATTGGTCTATGTGTGTGTGTGTGTGTAAATAATCCGTAAATATTTGATTTTATAATAGATGGGTGGGGTGGAAATACGATTAAAATTTTGTTTGTTGTGTACTTTAAAATTGGTTGATTTCGTTTCTTTGCTGTTTTCTTTAAAAAAAATACGTATTTGTATTCTCTTTGGGGTTTATTTTGATGTCTTTATCAGCGGCCCTCGTTCATAGAGTCGTAAAGGGGTTGATCACTTGGGTTTGGCAGTAGGACACTGCCGCTAGGGGTGGGGAGGGGGTTCTGTAGAGTTGCAACTATTAGGGCTAGAGACTATGGTGTTACACTAATGTCCTATATCGTCAAATAATGTATTTTTTTTTAAAGAGGATGTTACGTTACTGGTAGTGAATTTAAAAAGAATAAGAAAAACAACTAACAATGCAATGCTAACCCTAAACCGCGATCTTTCCATAACCCTAACCTGAATACATTGTTCTAACACTGAACTACAATACTTCTAACAGGCCTATTTCGGGCGAGTCCATTGCCGGAGACTAGTAACATTAATACACCGGGTTGGGACAAAATCACCAGCTGTAGCTCAACTGTTTAACATCCCTTCCTGGATTGATAACATTTTTTTTGTCGTTTCCCTGTCTAGGGAAAACACTTTCTTGCATTAACCTATAGCATTTGTTATTTCGAAATCTACTTCATTGATCGAAACATTAAACCTTCTTGTTTTTTTGTATCACTCCGCCGCTTGTTTTTAAAAAAAGTAGTACTCATTATATATCCAGACAGGATTTGATCGTTTAAACCTATTTCAATTTCTGAATAACACTACGTAAACCTAACCTTCCGGGTTAAAGAATCATCATAGATCCCCCTCTTTGAAACTATGTGGGTACGGCTAATCGATTGTAACCTTAATCGTTCGTGCTGTTTTGGATGTGGTACAGTCAAACTCAGATTAATACGGGGGGGGGGGGGGGGGGGGGAGCAGGATTAACGATCCGCCAACCAGCTGTTTCCTGTTAGTCCTTGGTGAAGCGGGGCGTGACCGACCTGTTAAGTAACGTGTTGGTGGTTAGCTGGGTTAAGGTTAAGCCGTGCTTAAAAGTTCAATTCTGTGTGGGATGGGGGGTTAGCTGGGTTAAGGTTAAGCCGTGCTTAAAAGTTCAATTCTGTGTGAGTCTACGTGTGGGATTGGAGGGGGGGGGGGGGGTGAGCTGGGTTAAGTAGATGTCTTAAAGTTCAATTCTTTGTGTGACTGTGTGTGAACTTCTTTTTTTAAAACTGTTTGTACGGTTGGTCTATAAGATTAGTGAAAGACTACTCGCATTTCTGTTTTTATTCCACGGATTTACTGTATTTTGATTTTGCCCCCCCCCCCCCTTACACCCCCACGCCCCTAACACACTCCTTGACTTAAAGTGACGCCGTAGGGCCGCATCTCTGTAACAAAACTCCAAAACGGCCTTGGTGGCTCACTGAAGTCTATAGTCCTCCCACTGTAAGGTGGGATTGGCACTTTCAGACTGGACTCCACAAAGCATGCGAGGTCGTGTTAATCTGTTTCTAAATCCTCACCAGATTAACTTATTGTTTGGCCAATCAGCCCCGGATGTCTTTACCGAATGGGAAAAAAAATATATTTCGCTCATTGATGTTATTTTAAAATTATGACTTCCTGGGAGGGTGCCCATCTAGTTTGTGTTTGGAGATTATAGCTCTTTTCAAATCTTTGTCTCCAGGTGGATTCGATGCTGTGAGAGAGGAGTGCCCCGTCCTGTGTATGAGCCAAGATTTACATCTGTTCCACTGCATGCGCGAGAAGCTGTCCCACAAAGACAGGCGGAGAACCCCTCAGCAGGTGAGTACTTCATGCTAGTCACACACGCGAGTCAGCGAGTACACAGCCTCGCAGTTTTAAATGGTTAAAACTTTTTAGACAGTACAACAGGATACTGAGAATAACGCTGTATATAAAACAAATAACTACTATGTTACTCTTTATTTGTTCCCTTACTGTTCAACAAAGTATAGTTTTTAGAAATGACATACTGACGTTCAAAACATAACAAAGCTACCATGCACCCTACAGGACGGTACCGAACTGACTTTTGTTTAGCTGGTATCTCTATTCCAGCGCAACCCTAATCCTAGCAACTATTTCTATAGAAGAGCGAATATCAAAATAATGTATACGATACTGAATAGCATTACACCAACAGGAGTACCTAGAGCTACATGTTCACTATATGACAAACACAACTTAAACCAAAACTGTTTGACGACCCCACCTCCTTGTAAGCACTGAAGTGTCACACTGACCTCTTTAATTATCCTAACCCCCCCCCCCCCCTACCTGCACATGCACACACACCCCCGCCCAAACGTGACAGGAAGACAGGTCACGAAACACCTGGGCCGGCTAATCTCCTCCTCCTCTTCCTCCCGTCTGCCAGTGACCCACGACCCATTTCGCTTCCGCAAAATGTCGTCTGAAAGAAAATTACTTCTTGCTACAAAAAATTATTGGTCTGTTATCATGGGGGGGGGGGGGGGCGGATTTTTGACTTGTGTTTCTATTATTTTGTATGAATATGTCAACATTTTTTTAGACATGACCTGAACTCGTATCCTAATTACTTTATTTTAATTGGGACGTTAACTAGAGTTCAAACAAGAGGAAAGAATGGTAAAGTTGACCACTGTAGATATTTTAAAAAGGTATTCGATAGTCGACTGCCTATCACTAGGCTGAAGTTGTAATGAACGAAAGCGTACTGGCATCCCAAATTTATTTTCTGAACTAATTACCATCCTTCTTGCTGAATGGCTTCCACATTGGACCCGCATCATCCATCCCTCGCATCATCCATCCCTCGGCCTCGACCCTCGGCCTCCTCGACCCTCGGTCTCGCTCGACGCCTCTTTGAACAGGCTTTTATCTGACAATTAAAACTTGTTGTGACGCACCCAGTGGCTGTTGATGTAGCGCTGTGGTGCGGGTTGATGGTGTGAGACCTGGGCCGGTACGTGGGTCTGGGCCGGCCCACGTACCAGGTAGGCCGTGTGTCAGGTCGTGATGGTTGTCAGTCTGTAGGGTTAAAGGTGAAGTCACAACCCAGGGGGGGGGAACGATTTTGGTGTCAGTTTTTTATGTATTATTCCGGCCAGTTTTTGTCTTTTGATAATCTTGACATCACATTGTATAGTGTTCTTTTTTATATATATAACAGCGATACAATAAACTATCTCTGATACGATTCAGCATTGCGAAAAGAAATTGTATTAATTAATTTAACACATATTCATTGTCAAGCTAAATATGGTTTTAGATATTTTTTTAAAATAATAGAACGCTTCCTGGTATGTTTTTGTGTGTGCTTGTCTCCCATCACAATTTGTCATTCCCATTTATCCTGTCTGTTTGTTTTTGCCATACGCCCCCGATGTCGCATGTACTACACCTTACATGCATGTTGCTTCATCCGCTGATACATCTTGACATGTTGCCCCATGGGTGTTTCATTGAAAAAAATACAATTGTTTTCATGACAAATTAAAAACCGTGATTCTTGGACCCTTTTATAGTGTTCCGGTGTATTTCGTTTTCCGTTTATTTATTTTTGATTAAAGACGCTCATAATTTTGGTAGTTCAACTTTTTAAATATTTTATTTTAATTTGCCCGTCTAGTCGGATTGTAGAACTTGAACTTTACCTTAAGTAAATTTAAACGCCGAAATGTTAATGTACCTTATTTTTAGTCTTAAACGTAACCCTTTCTTTTTGAAACTGCACATTAATGCTTATTAGCAAAAAAAAAAAAAAAAAAAAAAAAAAACGTATCAAGGTCAGGGTTAAGAGACCTCGGGCTGAATTATATGGTCTGATACGTCTCACCCTATACTAACTAATGCACTCATGAATATGGAGGTGAGAATCTGCGCAAAAATGTGATTGGTCGCCTAGCTTTACTGACGTCATTTGCTGTACTAGATACACCAGGTGGACGAGTGGGAGGAGGGGGGGGGGGGTGGGGTGGATCAGGTGTTCGTTTGTCAGATAAAGAGAAACAGATAGTAGGCGGCCCATGAGATTCTAGTGGGGGGGGGGGGGGTGAGAGAGAAAAAAATAACGGTGGGTGGTCTGTGGCTTTTGTAGTTGGCTGCCTGGAAATAGCTCTTAATTAATCGTCATGTGTTGTGTTAGCTTCTGTACCGGGGGAGATGCGAGGGATTTAAATCCCAGAATACACGAGGGCGGGTGGAGTAGAGTTTTTAAAAAAAATCTTCTGTCATCTTGGCTTTAGAGTTAATGAATGAGAACTGAAATGTAGAACGTACAAATCCTATCGTTATATGTTTTTAATATTTCTATGGTAAACTGTCATTCATGAATGAGAACTCAAATGTAGAACGTACAAATCCTATCGTTATATGTCTTTCATATTTCTATGGTATACTGTCATTCTCGACGATCTCCGTTCTATCTATGCGGACTTTCCTTGTTATGTTATCAATTATCAAGTATATCCTCAATGTTATTGATTCATTAGTTCTACTTCGTATACTCTATATAGACCGATCGGTCTTAAAGTGTTCTTAACTGCTTTAACTTAATATTATGTACTTTACAAAAAAATCACGTTGGTATAATTTACCCCTGATTGGCGTGATAATTTGAGCGGGGTTAATTAACACCAGAAAAAAGACGTATGATTTAATTACCAGAACGGGCGTTAATTAAGTGATGTGACTAATGAGAGACAATGCCCGTGCAGTCGTTAATTACACAGAGACGCCTTGATAGTCTCAGCTTGAAAACTTTTCGCTCGCCCATCAAAGTGCCGCCCTTCGAAGTCCCGCCCAATGTAGTTCATCAGATATGCGCTTGACACTCGCATGCATTTAGTAAAGAATCCTCTGTAGACCTAGCGATCCATTGGGCAGATGAAGTAGAGTTCATGTGTTTTTTTTACCCCGGCATATGAAGGAGCCCAGCCGCCTTTTTTCCTAACGTGAGTAAGGGACCTGTCAAATATAAAGGACGTTTTACTGACCTTCGACCCGGATTCGACCTCGAGACTTTCAGGGTAGCAGCCTATGCCACGCCGTCCCATTCAGACGTTCAGTAAACGAACTGTGACTCCGGGACGTTATACTGACTTGAACTTGGATGCGAACTCGAGACTTTCGGGTTAGCAGCCTAGCGCTCTACTACTAAGGCCACACCATCCCATTTAAACGTTGAGTAAACTAATTTGTGACACCCTTTGTTTGTAGATGTCTTTATACTGGACGATGTCAAGTGCGAACTCACAATAATGTAAATGGGGGGCGGGTCTGCTGAGGTGTATAGCACTTAACCCCCCCCCCCCTCCTCCCCCAACATCCATTTGCTACGTGCTGGAATCCTGGTTGACCTTTATCTCTAGTACGTCTACCCCACTCTGAATGTAACAGATACATTTCTTCTTGACTGTAAGATTCCTGTGGAGATTGCCCAGCAAGAGATACACCTCCCGTCCTACCCCCTTTCCATTTAAACTGTCACAAAAACTATGCGGACTTCCAAGACGACAGGAGAAGAAAAGCAGAAGTGGTTTTCGTAGTCTCACACTGAATAATATGACTGAAACACCTGACTGATATGACTGATACACCTGACTGATATGACTGAAACACCTGACTGATATGACTGAAACACAGACTGAAACAACTGACTGGCTACTTTACTGAAATATCTGACTGTCAGACTAGTGAAACTACGCGAAAATACCTGACTAAAAACATCTGATTAAAAAACCAGATTACAACAGAAGTTTCGTGAAAGAATTTTTAATTAAAAAAACACGCCCACACAAGAGTTTGATAGTAATTATTTTTTTTTAATGAGCAAAAAAAAAAATTACTACGTCCACTACGCTAATCTTATCATTATAGGTTTCTTCTTATCTGTCTTCAGTGCTTTCAAAAAAGATTAAGCATAAAAAAAAAGTTCCATTCATTTTCAATAGCGGCACTCTTAACACACACTTTAGCTTTAGTGTTAGGCACACACAGACCCACACATTAACCTAGCCATCCCACACACTGTTCGTCCTATCCCACATCCATCCTGCTAGACTACACACACTGGCTTATCGTCACACACAGGCCCACACATTAACTTAACCATCCCACACACTGTCCGTCCTACCCACATCCCACACACTGTCCGTTCTACCCACATCCCACACACAATCTGTCCTACCCACATCCCACACACAATCTGTCCTACCCACATCCAACACACAATCCGCCCTACCCCACATCCATCTTGCTTGACTACGCCGTGTAACGCTCGTTCAGAACCCACCCATATGCTGATTATCATTTGCGCTGACTCTACTACACCCACACCTAGCACCCCACACACTTCACTCACGCCCATAAAATCCACCCACACACAATGTGCGTTCTTCCATTATAAAGACACATGCACCGTAAAAGATCAATAACATTTCCAACAATCATGCAATTTTCGACTTTTTTTCTAAACTCAAATAAACAACCCCACATTAAATACACAAAAATACCGCTCCTCCCCCTCACACACATAAAAAAACATAATACACAACCAACGCCCATATTAAGAACACAAAAAATCAGCCCCATATAAAATACACCCCCCTCCCTACATAAAATACACACCAAAAAAAAACAACCCCCACTTAAAATACACCATAACAACCATCTACACCATACCCAACTGCAGACCCATAAAAATTACAGTCTATTTTTAATGATGAAGAAATCCTTTTCTTTAGTGTTATTATTTTAAACACCCACACCGCGTCTGTTTACGACATACTCTTCAAACT